ACCTGTCATCTACACTAGGTATTTCTCCTAATGCCATCCTTCCCCTTGCTTCCCACCTGGCAACAGGCCCTGGAGTGTGATGTTCTCCTCCCTGTGCCTTTATGTTCTAATTGTTCAACTCCCACTTATGAGTGAGAAGATGTGGTGTTTGTTTTCTTTACCAATCTAACATTGATGGGCATTTGAGTTGGTTCCAAGTCTTTGCTATTGTAAATAGTACTGCATACACTATTGTAAATAGTGTCTTTATAGTAGAATGATTTATAATCCTTTAGGTATATACCCAGTAATGATTCATTTGCTGAGTCAAATGGCATTTCTAGTTCTAGATTATTGAGGAATTATCACACTGTCTTCCGCAATGGTTCAACTAATATACACTCCCACCAAAAGTGTCAAAGTGTTCCTATTTCTTCACATCCTCTCCAGCATCCATTGTTTACTGACTTTTTAATGATCGCCACTCTAACTGGCATGGGATGGTATCTCATTGTGGTTTTGATTTGCATTTCTCTAATGACTACTGATGATGAACTTTTTTTCATATGTTTGTTAGCTACATAAATGTCTGCTTTTGAGAAGTGTCTGCTCATATCCTTTGCGTACTTTTTGATGGGTTTTTTTTTTTTCCTTATAAATTTGTTTAAGTTCCTTGTAGATTCTGGATATTAGCCCTTTGTCAGATAGACAGGTTGCAAAACTTTTCTCCCATTCTGTAGGTTGCCTGTTCACTCTGATAGTTTCTTTTGCTGTGCAGAAGCTCTTTAGTTTAATTAGATTCCATTTGTCAATTTTAGCTTTTGTTGAAATTGCTTTTGATGTTTTAGTCTTGAAGTCTTTGCCCATGCCTTAAATGTATTCCTAGGCTTCATTTTGTGTGTGTGTGTGTGTGTGTGTGTGTCTATTGCAAATGGGATTCTGTTCTTGATTTGGCTTTCAATCTATACTGTTGTATAGAAAAGTTGACTTTTGTTCACTGATTTTGTATCTTGAAATTTTACTGAAATCATTTATCATTTCTAGGGGCCTTCTGTCTAAGTCCTTAGGGTTTTCTATGTACAGAATTGTATCATCAGCAAAGAGAGACAATTTAACTTCTTCTTTTGCTACTTGGATGCCTTTTCTTTCTCTTGCCTAATTGCTCTAGCAAGCACTTTCAATACTATGTTGAACAAGAGTAGTGAGAGTGGGCATAGTTGTCTTGTTTCAGTTCTCAAAAGGAATGATTCGTTTTTGCCAATTCAGTATAATGCTGTGATGTTAGCTGTGGATTTGTCATAGGCTGCCTTATTATATTGAGGTATGTTCCTTCATGCCTAGTCTCTTCAGGGTTTTTATCACGAAGAGATGTCAGATTTTACTGAGGGCTTTTTCTGTGTCTATTGAAATGGTAATGTAGTCTTTGTTTTTCATTCTGCTTATATGGTGAATCACATTCATTGAGTTGCATATGATGAACCAACTTGCATCTCAGGAATAAAGTCTAACTTGTGGTGAATTAACTTTTGCTGCTGGATAAAAATGTGTTGCTGGATTTGGTTTGCTAGTATTTTGTCAAAAATTTTTTTGCTTATGTTTGTCAAGAATATTTGGCCTAACGTTTTCTTTTTTCGTTGTCTGTCAGATTTTGGTATCAGGATGTTATTGGCTTTGTAAAATAAGTTATAAAGAAGCCCCTCCTCTTCAACCTTTTGGAACAGTTTCAGCAAGATTGATATCAGTTCTTTATACATCTAGTAGAATTCTATATGAATCCATTTATTTCCACTCATCAAAAAAATGAATTCACTTAGTAGTTGCTTGTCTGAGAAGGATTTTATTTCTCCTTTACCCTGAAGCTGAGTTTGATGGCATATGAAATTCCTGGTTGAAATTCCTTTACCTTAAAAATGATGAAAACAGGCCTCCAATCTCTTCTGGCTTTAAGATTTCTGCTGAAAAATCTGTTGGTAGAATGATGAGTTTCCCTTTGTAGGTGAACTGACCTTTCTCTCTGGCTGCCTTTAAGTTTTTTCTTTTGCAGTAACTTGGTAAATCTGATGACTATGTGCCTGGGGATGATCATCTTGTACAGTAGCTTGCAAGTGATCTCCATATTTCTTGAATTCTTATGACTATATGTCTAGCAAGATTGGGGAAATTTTCATGGACTTCAAATGTTTTCCAAGTTACTTACACTTTCTCCTTCTCTCTCAAGAATGCCAATGAAACAGATTTTGTCTCTACATAATCACATATTTCTTGGAAGTTTTGTCATTTTTTTAAAATTCTTTTTTCTTTGTGTCTGACTTAGTTGATTCAAGAACCAGTTTTCAAGATTTGAGATTCTTTCCTCAGCTTAGTCTATTCTGCTGTTAATACTTCTGACTCTGCTTTATGACTGATTATGAAATACTTAAAGTGAATTATTCAATTCCAGAGGTTCCATTTAGTTCTTACTTGAAATGGCTATTTTTTCTTTTAGCTCCTTGATCACTGCACTGGATTCCGTGGATTTCTGGGATTAAGTTTCAACTTTCTCCTGGATCTCAAAGAGTTTCCTTACCAGCCAGATTCTGAACCCTAGGTCTGTCATTTCAGTCCTTTCAATTTTTTTTTTTAATTTCACTTTCGATTCTGGGGTACATGTAAAGAACATGCAGGATTGTTGCACAGGTACATACATGGCAATGTAGTTTGCTATCTCCATCTCCCTGTCACCTATACCTGGCATTTCTCTCCGTGTTATCCCTCCCCAACTCCCTACCCACTTCCGTCCCTCCCCTAGGTCCCCACAACACACCCCAGCGTGTGATGCTTCCCTCCCTTTGTCCATGTGTTCTCACTGTTCAACACCCACCCATGAGTGAGAACATGCAGTGTTTGATTTTCTGTTCTTGTGTCAGTTTGCTGAGAATGATGGTTTCCAGATTCATCCATCTCCCTAAAAAGGACAAGAACTCATCATTTTTTATGGCTGCATAGTATCCCATGTTGTATATGTGCCACATTTTCCTTGTCCAGTCTATCATTGATGGGCATTTGGGTTGATTCCAGGTCTTTGCTATTGTAAACAGTGCCACAATAAACATACATTTGCATGTGTCTTTATAATAGAATGATTTATAATCCTTTGGATATATACCCAGTAATGGGATTGCTGGGATCAAATGGAATTTCTATTTCTAGGTCCTTGAGGAATCGCCACACTGTCTTCCACAATGGTTGAACTAATTTACACTCCCACCAACAGTGTAAAAGTGTTCCTATTTCTCCACATCCTCTCCAGCATCTGTTGTCTCTAGATTTTTTAATGATCACCATTCTGACTGGCGTGAGATGGTATCTCAATGTGGTTTTGATTTGCATTTCTCTGATGACCAGTGATGATGAGCATTTTTTCATATGTTTGTTGGCCTCATATATGTCTTTTTTTGAAAAGTGTCTGTTCATGTCCTTCACCCACTTTTGAATGGGTTTTTTTCTTGTAAATCTGTTTTAGTTCTTTGTAGATTCTGGATATTAGCCTTTGTCAGATGGGTAGATTGCAAAAATTTTTTCCCATTGTGTTGGTTACCGGTTCAGTCCTTTCAGTCTTGTTAAGAATCATTGCTGGGGGATCAGTGCATTTGTTAGGAGGTAAAAGGACATTCTGGCTTTTTGAATTACCATGTGGAGGGCTGGTGGTCCCTTAACTGTGAGGTAAGTTGAGTACAGTCAGTTGGCTTTGTTTCTGGGTGCTTTCAGAGTGCTATAACGCCATACAGAATCTTCATTTGTGACTGAAATTTTGCCTTACAAAACTTCACAGGCACTGCATACTGGCAAAATATTTTTGGTTTGTAATCTGGGCTTCTGCCCAGTAGGTAGAGCTTAAGAGTGGTGGCCTGCAGATAGGCCACATAAATTCATCTTTTGTCTATAATTCTCTAGCCTAAAAACTCTGAATTTTAGTTGCTCATAAGATAATGCCTAAACACCTGAGTTTGAGTTCTACTGGTCTTACGGCTGGGCATACATGTTCAGTCTTACTTCCTGTCACTTTTAATGTCACATTCCAGATCTCAGACAGCATTCAACTACCCACAGTTCTCTGACTATAACTTGCTTCTTCCAGGCCCTCTGCTGTTTCCTCCACCAAAAAAAAAAAAGCTCTTCTAGTATCCAGAAAATACATATTTAAACTACATGCCTCATTATATACATAACCTTCTTTGGAAGGGTATCCTGCTTATGTACTATCCTAGCAGGCTATATATTTTTCTATTTAGTTCCCATCACATTGTACTACTATACAATTATCTAGTTACTTATATGTATTCTGTAAGAGTTCATGACTCGACAGAGGTAGGAACCATAGTCTTCACTAATTTCAGTTTTTGATTACACAAGGCTTGTGTATAGCACACAGCAGTTATACCTAGAATTAATTCAACAAATCAAAAATCATTACTTTTTTTTTAATCAAACAGCAGTTGCTTCTGGACAGATCAGCTACACCTTAGCTACAAGAAATAAGAATTATTTAGCCTCATACAAATAGGCATGCACTGATTAACAATGAGAATATATTTTGAGAATTGTATCCTCAAGCAATTTTGTCACTCTGTTAATACTGTAGAGTGCTCTTACACAATCCTAGGAGTTTATTGCTCCTAGTCTAGAAACCTATACAGCATGCTACTGTACTGAATATTGTAGGCAATTGTAGCACAATGGTATTTGTGTATCTCAACATATTTAAAGATTTTTAAAAGTATAGCAAAAATAATAATAGTATGATAATCTTATAAGACTACCTTTGTATACTTGATCCATCATTAACCAAATGTCATTATGGAGCACATGACTGTACCAAGTTAGTAAGATATATGAAGGAAAAAAATACAAAGAAATAGGCATAAATGCATCCATATATACATGCTAAGTGTAGTCAATATTCATCTTCTTTAATATTTTCTTTTTTTCAAATTATAACAAAAGCTTTAAAAAAAATAATAAGGCATTTGATGGTAGTTTACCTTGTTTTATATCAGAATTTCTTGTAATGTCTGACAGATAGCAGTTTGGCAAAGGATATGAAGAAAACATTGGCCAAGGATATGGATTATCACTCTAAAAAAGAAGTAGGACAGATGACTTTAGGAAGCAGTTTAAAATAATATTGAATTTTAAAGCTAACTGAAATATCATTAATTTAAACTGGCCTTTCTTGCTCATAAATTCTAAAGTTATTGCCCAACTAACCAATAGCTATTTGGTACTATAGTTCAATATTCCAATGGGTGATAATTAAAACAAGCTATAACAGAAACAATATTAAATTAGAACTGCGGACATACAGTAACTTTTTGCAAGCAGAATTGCTTTTTTTTTCATAAAAGGAAAATTATAATCTTCAAAATATACCTGTGGTTTTTTCCTACAAAACTTTTTTCTTGTGCTGTCAATCATTTCCACCGTATCTTTCCAAGAGTGACAGTCAAAGCAAGAATGTTCTTAACAACAATGAAAACAAATGAAAAACCTCCATGAGAAACCCATACTTGAATATTGATGGAAGGAGAGGTACTCAATATTGCCAATATAATAAAAAATAAGTCATTTAATAATAAAAGTTAAATATCATGAAAGAGAAAGACATTGAAAGTAAAATATTCAAAGACACACAAGAAAAATGACAACTTTTTAATAAAGCAATACCTACTTCACTACACATGCAAACAATACCTACCCTACTTTAGCATTCATGAACCCTGGACATCAAAAATATTATTTTAGTTTAAAAGCATTTATTTGCATCCTAAATATTCTCAAGTAATAAGTTCAACTCTGTGATGCAAACATTTAAGAGGTAAAGTTTAGGGTCACTTTGAGTTGGCTATCTTGCTTAAAAATATGTCAGAAAAACAAATCCCACTTCTCTTTGCCCCACACTCACCTCTTCTAGCATTCTCGGAGGCAAAATCCGTTCTAATGGCCCACCAACAAGATTTATTCTAACAAGAACATGATTTCTCTCTACTGATAAGCCATCAATTATAAAGTCCCTGAAAAACATAAATGTATCACCTTTATCATCCCTTTGATTGAGTATCTGTTAATTTTTAATCAAGTCTCTGGATTGTAAAGAAAAAAGGTAGAAATATTCATGAATGTTTTTCTTTGTCTTTACTGAATTTAACGTTTATATATTTTTTTAAGTTTGGGATATATGTGCCAGATGCTCAGGTCTGTTAAATAGGTAAACATGTGCCATGGTGGTTTGCTGCACAGATCATCCCATCACCTAGGTATTAAGCCTGTATCCATGAGCTGTCCTTTCTGATGCTCTCCTTCCTCTCTAGCTTCACCCACTAACAGGCCCCAGTGTGTATGGTTTCCTACCATGTGTCCATATGTTCTCATCATTCAGCTCCTACTTATAAGTGGGAACATAGAGTATTTGGTTTTCTAATCCTGTGTTGGTTTTCTGAGGATAATGGCCTCCAGCTCCATTCATGTCCCTGCAAAGGATATGATCTTCTTCCTTTCTATGGCTGCATAGTATTCCATGGTGTATATGTATAACATTTTCTATCATTGATGGGCATTTGGGTAGATTCCATGTCTTTGCTATTATGAATAGTGCTGCAGTGAAAATAAGCATGTCTGTATCTTTATAAGAGAATGATTTATATTCCTTTGGTACATACCCAGTAATGGGATTGCTGGCTCAAATGCTATTTCTGTCTTTAGGTCTTTGAGGAATTGCCACACTGTCCTCCACAATGGTTGAACTAATTTACACTCCCACCACCAGTGTAAAAACATTCCTTTTTCTCCACAACCAAACCAGTATCTGTTGTTTTTTGACTTTTAAATAATAGCCATTCTGACATGCATTATTTCTACAGTAAATTCAACAATCGTATTTTCAGTCAAGGTTTTCTTAAGTTTTGGAACTGGTGCCTGAAATTCAAAATCTAAATGTTGCTTATGAGCAGCCTCTATACTCTGCAGCTGTTAATATTTTCCTTCTACACAAAATCTAGAGTATTAAGTAATATACTCTATAATAATTTTCCAAGACCTGGCTAGGATGCAGACACAGAGACACACTCTTTTTTTTAAATTAATTAGACACAAAGGCAATGCCAGCTATTGAATGTGTATTTGACAACAGTCAGCCAAATTGAGGTAATGGCAAGTGTGATTTATTAATGAAAAAAATTACCAGAATATTACCATAACCTCATTTTGGAAATAATCAGAATTTATGACTATGAACTAATGTAATTAAAAGGATAGAATAAAGAGCGCCTCTGCAAAGGGCACAAAATAAAAAATTTTGTTCAATGGGTCATCTTAAACTCGCTGCTATATTAAAAGGTAATACAATTTCATGGAACCATTAATAAAGTTAGGTCTTAACTAAAATTTTATGTATTACTATATACACCCCCCCAACACACACACACACACACACACACACACGCACCACATGTGACAAAAGCAGCAGAGTTTGAAAGCAGGACTCTCCAAGTACTCTCCAAACACTTTTATCATAACCTTTCTGTAACATTTACACTTTAGTTGCTTCATACTCTGTTGTTATTAAAATCTATTGAATTTAGAGAGCAGAAAAACATTAAACAAACTATACCAAAAATTACTGTCTTAACAAAATATCTCTAAAGAAAACTGCTGTTGTTGTGTTTTAATCACTCATTTTTACCTGTGGCTCTCAGAAGTCTCTAAGATATTTTCTTCTTGAGCGTTTAATAACATTTCAGATACTTGATACTGAGCCTCTAATAGGAGAAGAGTGTCCAGATCACAGCATATCACACTTAATAATCTATATAAAAAAGAAAAAGAAGATTGTGTAAAACATGTCTCCAAAGCATAATTGCACCCTTGATGTCTCAAAGTAATACCTGTACATCAAAATATAAATTCCACAGAAAGTGTCATTTAGTTTATTTAGTTATTTCAGATATATTTTTAATCAATTAGAATAGTAATCTCCTCTTCAAAAGTTGTTCTTACTATTTTTATAAGACCATGGGTAATTTCTAATCTAGACTTTTTAAAATGTATCTAAATCAACATAAATAGCAAATTTTCTTCTCAACTGCCACTTAATTTAAAAATTCATCAGAGAACATTAGCAAATCCAGAAAATCTCCAAATTGCCATAACTTTTTATTCAGCAGTTAATTACCAAAGTTATGATAGAATCATCATTTTGCTGCCAATCCAGAAAATGTTCATTAGATAAAATGTCAATGGCCTATTTTATAATTGTCAGATCAAGCTGAGAACACCTAAGCCCACTTATCTATCTTAACATTATTAAAAGCTACAAGCAGAAATCATGTGTCTCCTATTATAATGCAAGAGGACTCATGCTGCAGCGTCTATGAAGTATTCTTGCTCAGGAAACTAAACCTCAAATCTAATCAACTCTACACCACTTATTATCAGTTTACAGGAAACACAGGCATTACAGAAACATACTTAAAAAAAATTTAAGGAGAAAACAGCCAACCAAATTCATAGTTTTGAGAATCCTACACATTATAACATATATTATTTGTTCAGAAAACAAAAAGTCATAAAAAGCAGAGGGAAAAGAAACTTACAAGTTTTTTTAAAAAAAGGACCAAATGTCAAGATTTTGTTTTGATCTTAATTCAAGCAAACTTTAAAAATACATTTTTAAATCATATAGGAAAATATGGGAGTGGTATGAGATGAAATCAGGGAAATACTGTTAATTTTGTTAGTTGTAACAGTGGCAAAGTGGTGAAGGGTTTTTTTTGTTTTGTTTTGTTTTGTTTTTAAACATGTTCTTATTTATTAGAGATATACACTGAATGTTTTATATATAAAACAGCATATCTAAAATTTACCTTAAAGTACTTAAGAAAAAAATATATGTGGGGGGAGAGAGAGGAAACAAGACTAGTGAAATAATGATAAATAATAAAGATGAATGACAGGCACATGAAAGATTATACTATTTGCTACTTTTTTATATGTTTAAAAATTCTATGATTAAAAAAGTGTTCAAACAAAGATGATATAATGACAACGTTAGGGGGCTATGGTAGAGTGGGGAGGTTAGGTAAGGACTCTCTGAAAGGTGACATTTGAGGAAACAGGAGATCCAAAAAGAAACCAACCTTCCAATAACATCTATTGATTTATCTTAGAGATAGAGTGATACATGAACGAAATGGCTTACATACAAGGATATTTATTGCAGAGTGGCCACATAGCAATCAATGAGTCAATCAATCACTCTCCATTCATAGAAAAATGTTTAAATGTCCGAGGTATTTTTTAAGTGGTATACTTTGCAAATATTAGGACACAGTAGCTTATGGTTTTAATAAAGAACTATCTCTAAGGTATATTAATTGAAAAAGGAGAGGCACAAAATATTTTGTCTAATACTAGTATTTGAATGAAAAATAGAAAAACAAGACTATACACATAAATGTATACTTGTTTTTACATAAAACATCTATCACAGGAGAGAAAAGAAAGTAGGAAGAACTGTTATCTCTGCAGTGGTGGTCTGACAACCAGAGAATTTACTTCTTACTGCATATTTTTTTAATTGCATTTTAGGTTTTGGGGTACATGTGAAGAACATGCAAGATTGTTGCATAGGTACACACGTGGCAGTGTGATTTGCTGCCTTCCTCCCCATCACCTATATCTGGCATTTCTCCCCATGCTCTCTCTCCCCAACTCCCAACCCCCTGTTGTCCCTCCCCTCTTACTGTATATTTTTATGTTGATCTCTGAGTTTTGGTACAACTGCATGTTTTACTTGTACAAAAGTACACATAAGAGAAAAAAGTTTGGTAGATGCCTTTAAGAGTCAAAGATAGCAATTCAATGTCACTCTCTGGAATGCAGCCAAAATATTCAAATGCATATAAAACTAAGTAAAGACCCACTATCATTACTTTAGAGAGGTATTCTCTAATCTTTCACATAAAGAAAACTATAATACATACAGTTTACAGAAATAAAAAGATTTTTGTTAGATAAAATATAGATGAAAGCAAAATGAAAGACATCTTAGACTTCTAGTGAGAAGATGATAGCGTATGCTGGCATTTCCCTGTCTCATCTTAGAAATAACTGAAAAGCATGGAGAAGGGAGAAAAACAGCACATCACAGAAATTTTTAACCACAAAATGAATTGAAGGGCAGCCAAAGGAAATAAAAATAGGACAAATGGTACTGGGGAAGGGAAAGAATGAGACAGGATATTATGGCTGTCCATAATGTTAAAAAAAAAAAATTTCTCAAAAAGAAAGTTGATATGATTTGCCTGTGTCCTCACTCAAATCTCATCCCAAATTGTAGCTCCCATAATTCCCACGTGTTATGGGAGGGCCCTGCTGGGAAACAACTAAATCACGAGGGCAATTTCCCCCATACTGTTCTTTTGGTAGTGAATAAGTCTCATGAGAGCTGATGATTTTATAAGGGGAAACCCCTTTTACTTGGTTCTTATTCTCTCTTGTCTGCCACCATGTAAGATGTGCCTTTCACCTTCCTCCATGATTGTGAGGCCTCCCCACCCACGTGGAACTGTGAGAGTCCATTACACCTCTTTTTGTTTATAAACTACCCAGTCTCAGGTATGTCTTTATCAGCAGCGTGAAAATAGGCTAATACAGCAAATTTTGGGCTCTTCTTACCTGTAAGTCAACAGGCTAAGAAGGGACATAAACTGTTGGCTAGGGTGACTGACCCAGGCTACCAAGATGAAATCAGTCTACTACTTCACAATGGAGGTAAGGAACAGTACGTGAGGAATACAGGAGATCCATTAGGGTGTCCCTTAGAATTACCAAGCCCTGTGATTAAGGTCAATGGGAAACTATAACAGCCAAATCTAGGCAGGACTACTTATGGCCTAGACCCTTCAGGAATGAAGGTTTGGGTCACACTGCCAGGTAAAAAACCATGACCTGCTGAGGTGCTTGCTGAAGGCAAAGGGAATACAGAATGAATAGTAGAAGGTAATAATCAATACCAGCTATGACCATGGACCAGCTGCAGAAATGAGGACTGTAACTGTCATAAATATTTCCTCCTTATTTTATTAAGAACATGTTTGTGCAGGTATACACTTGCACTGAGAAAATATCTTCATTCTATTTCCTTTCACCTTTATCATGTGGCATAGAGTTATTGACTTTGCATCAGCATTGAAGTGTTGTTAACTTCATGTAATAGCATTTGGGTTGGGGTGTGTTTCCTGTCGTATGGAGGATAGTTGTATTGTTAGGCATAATTATAACCTCAGTATTGTCTTTATTTCAAGATTATGTAAGATTTCAGGAGATGTTTATGGGTTCACATTGACAAAAGGTGGACTTGTGATGGTTAATATTAAGTGTCAACTTGACTGTATTGAAGGATGCAAAGGACTGTTCCTGAGTGTGTCTGTGAGGGTGCTGCCAAAAAAAGATTAACATTTGAGTCAGTGGACTGGGAAAGGCAGACCCACCCTCAATCTGGGTGGGCACAATCTAATCAGCTGCAAGCACAGCCAGGATAAAAGCCAGCAGAAGAACATGTAAAGACTAGACTGGTTTAGTCTCCTGACCTACATATTTCACCCATGCTGGTTGCTTCCTGCCCTCCAACACTGGACACCAAGTTCTTCAGCTTTGAGACTCCGACTGGCTTCCTTGCTTGCTGATGGCCTATTGTGAGACCTCACCTTGTGACTGTGTGAGTCAATATTCCTTTAATAAACTCCCTTTTATATATGCATGTGTCCGATTGGTTCTGTCTCTCTAAAGAACCCTGACTAATAGAAGAATAAAAGCAAAATAAATTTCTCAAAAATAGGGAGCATAAGCCAAGAGGCAATGTCTAATCCTCCGTTTTCAACAGTGGAAATGGAACACACAGAACCCCCAAAGTATCTCCTGATCTAATTTAGGACATCAGTATGTAACAGAAGAGAGCCTCATAGTCACCGAACCAGATGCTTAAAAGCTATTTGATTTAAATTTGACATCTACTCTCTATTCCTTGTCCTCCAAAAAATTCTGAGTAAATTAGAGAAAGGTTACCTCTTTAATTTGATTTAAAACAAATCTATCTCAATACAAGAGCTAAAAGCATAAACAGAAAAAGCATTCCCTTTAAGGTCATCAGGAAGGCAAAGCTGTCCATTATTTTTTTTTAACATCATTCTAGAAATTAAAGATAACACGGAAAGACAAGAATAAAATAAAGAGGCATGCTATGGAAAAGGAGATCGAATGTTCATTGTTAGAGGACAATAAAACTGTCTGTGAATCCATCTACGAAAGACATAAATTTCAATTTACTCAGAAAAACATTGGTTGAATACCTACTAAGTGCCTACCACTGTTTTAAATGTTGGAAATTCACCAGTAAAAACACATACACACAAAAATCCCAGTCCTTATGCTATTTCCTCTAAATACTAGAGGAAGGGAACAGACAATGAACAAAATTGAAAATTAAAAAGTAATGGATACGACTAAAACAAGAAAGTAAAAAATGAGTTTTAAAAAGGGAGTGAAAAAAATGTGTCACTATATGTAGTTTTAAATAAGGTGGTTAGGAAAGAGCTCACTAAGAAGGTGACACTTTAGGAAAGATCTAAACTCAGGAAGCAAGCCATATAGCTATCTGGGGGAAAGGTGTTCCAGGTAGAGCAAATAGCTTCAGCCAAATATCTAAGGTGAGAGAATTTCTAACATGTTTGAACAGTAAGGGGGCCAATATAGCTGAAGTGGAATAAGAAAGGGAGAAGTACAGGCTGAACATCTCAAAATCCAAAATCCAAAATGTTTTGAGCACTAACATGATGCCATAAGTGGACAATTCCACACCAAATGATGAGTCACAGACAACACAGTCAAAATACACAACACACAGTTTACCTGGCATCCCTACTATTCAGTGTACACTAACGTTTTAATCAAAACAGCGTCATAGGCAGAGATTGAAAGCCTGCACTTTTCTTTGTTTATTTGGTATTTTTGTTTTGTCTTGTTTTGTTTTTGAGACGGAGTCTCGCTCTGTCTCCAGACTGGAGTGCAGTGGCGTGATCTCGACTCACTGCAACCTCCGTATTCCAGGTTCAAGTGATTCTCATGTCTCCGCCTCCTGAGTAGCTGGGACTACAGATGCATGCCACCACACCCGGCTAATTTTTGTATTTTTAGTAAAGACAGGGTTTCACCATGTTAGCCAGGATGATCTCGATCTCCCGACCTTGTGATCCACCCACCTTGGCCTCCCAAACTGCTGGGATCACAGGTGTGAACCACTGTGCCTGGCCAAAAGCCTGCAGTTTTATGTTTAACAGCTAATGCAGGTGTTCTAGTGATGCTACTGTGCTGCCAGTTACCCTGAATACGTCATTTTTTTACTGTATAAGTGGTATGTCACATTTTTTAGTGTTAAACACTATGTGTGAATCAGCATAAGGAAATGATTGCTTATAGGTAGCTGATACAGTTTGGATATGTGTTCCTGTCCATATCTCATGTCAAATTGTGATCCACAATGTTGGAGGTGGAGCCTGATGGGGGTGGATCATGGGGCTGAATTTCTCATAAATGGTTTAGCACCATCCCCTTGGTGCTGTTCTCGTGATAGTGAGTTCTTGTGATAGTGCATGAGTTCTCATGAGATCTGGTTGTTTAAAAGTGTGTAGCACTTCCCCTCTTGCTCTTTCTCTTGTTCCTGCTCCTGCCATGTAAGACTCCTACTTGCCCTTGGCCTTCCACCATGACTGAATGCTTCTTTAGGCCTCTCCAGAAGCAGAAGCAGCTATAGTTCTTGTATAGTCTTCAGAACCATAAGCAATTAAACCACTTTTCTTTATACATTACCCAATCTCAGGTATTTCTTTACAGTAATGTGAGAATGGACTAATACAGTAGCATACAAATTTAGAGTTAGGGAAGATGGTGATAGCAGACAACCACAGACTGTCCACACTGGTGGCTGAGATCGTGATACATTTGCTTTCTAATAGTTCAATGTACACAAACTTTGTTTCATGTACAAAATAATTTTAAGATAAAAAATTACCTTCAGGTTTTGTGTATAAGGTTTATATGAAACATAAATGTATTTCATGTTTAGACTTGGGCTCTAGCCCCAAGATATCAAACTATGTATATGCAAGTATTTCAAAATATGAAATCTGAAACACTTCTGATCCCAAGCATTTCAGATAAGGGATACTCAATTTGTACTGAGGAGATGAGATCAAAACAATACTAAGTAGGTATATTAGCCCGTTTTCACACTGCTGGTAAAGACATACCCAAGACTGGGTAATTTATAAAGGAAAGAGATTTAATGGACTCACAGTCCACATGCTTCAGGAAGCCTCAAAATCATGGCAGAAGGTGGAAGGAACATCCTACATGGCAGGAGACAAGGGAAGAAGTGCCAGCAGGGGAAATGCCAGATGCTTATAAAACCATCAGATCTCAGCCAGGCCTCGTGGCTCACGCCTGTAATCTCAGCACTTTGGGAGGCTGAGGTGGGAGGATCACAAGGTTAGGAGTTCAAGAGCAGCCTGGCCAATGTGGTGAAACCCTGTGTCTACTAAAAAAAAAAAAAAATTACAAAACTAGCCGGGTGTGATGGCACATGCCTGTATTCCCAGCTATTCAGGGGGGCTAAGGCAGGAGAATCCCTTGAACCTGGGAGGCTGAGGTTGAAGTGAGCTGAGATCATGCCTCTGCACTCCAGCCTGAGTGACAGAGCGAGACTCCACCTCAAAATAATAAAACAAAACAAACAAAAAATCAGATTTCATTAGAACTCACTATCTTGAGAACAGTATGGGGGGAACTGCGCCCATGATTTGATTATCTCTGCCTGGTCCCACACTTGACATGAGATTTGGGTGGGGACACAGAGCAAAACCACATCAGTAGGGGTTCAGATCACATAGTCATCCATTGTGATGACTCTGGATTTTTTTATGGTGACATGAGAAATCACTGGGGATGGTTTCATACTAATGATATGAAAAACTTTGTGAGTACAGGACTGAGATTACCTGATTTGTATTTTAATGGGATCACTCCAGCTGCTATGCATGTAATAGGCTAAAATTAGGCAGTAGACAAAGAGAAACCAGTTAAAAAGCTATAGCAATAATTTAGATAAGACAGTAGCTTAAAACAGGGTACTGTCAGTATTTCTGGACTGAAAGAATGGCTCTGCATTGTCCAGATTCTCAGGGTAGCCCCCAAGATCCCCACCTCCTGGTGCTCACGTTCTTCTGTGATCCCCTTCTCTTGAGTGTAGGCAGGTCCTATGATATGTCTCTAATCTATGGAGTATGGTAAAGGTGGTACCATGGATGTGTCTATATGTATGTGATTACAAGATTACATTCCGTAAGACTGTAGTGCCCTTCTTGTTGGGATGTCTCCTGTGCTAGTTGAGGGCAACCTTCAATAGATAGCTGTAAGAAAGGACCTCCAGCCTTTAGCTAGCAAGAAAACAAGGCCCTCAGTCCTAAACCTGTAAAGAACTAAACTCGGCCAATAGTCTGTATGAGTTAGGAAGCAGATCTTTCTTGAGTTTCACATGAGACCATGGCCACAGCCAACATCTTGATTTCAGCCTTCTAAGACTGTGAACAGAGGAACCAGTGAAGGTGTGTCTAGACAAAAATTGAGATAGTAAATGTGTGTTGCTTTAAGTCACAAAGTTTATAGTAATTTTTTAATACAGTTACAAAAAATAATATAAACTCCAACTTTAACAACTAAGCAATTAAAAGTATAATGCTTCTAGTTGGTTGATAAAGAAAAAACAACTAATAATGGCAAAGTGGATATATACACATGCATACACACACACACACACACACACACACACACACACATTATTTTCACACACGTGAAAATTACGTAGGTGGCTTGTAAAAAAAAAAAAAAGCGCCAAAAATAAAACCCTAATAAACTTACTCATAACATACCGGCAATAACCAATAAAACATTATTGTGGAAAAAGAGATCCCATTAGCAACAGCAAAAAATATAACAGATGATAATAAAACAGATGATAACAACAGATGATATAACTTAATAGATAATTAACAAAGGACAGGACCTATATGAAGAAAGCTACAATGTATGACTGAAAAATGTGAAGAGCTCAATAGAGACACAGTACCTACCAGGATGAGAATGTTAAATATTTTAAAGATGTGCATTCTCCCCTAATTTATTTATAAATTTAAATAAATCTTATATAGTAATTTAATTATATAACTTATTTTATACAAATATAAAACAAATTTGTATAAAATAATTATACAGAATTTAATAAAATACCTCTACTAATAATCTAAAAGAAACTAGTAGACACTTATCACTACTTATCAGGTGCTTACCATGTTCCAAATTTGTGAGAGTTGTAACGTATTTAGTCTCATGATAACTTGGTAAGAAACATACAGTTTTTGTGTCCATATATAAAAGAAACAGAGGCACAGAGAGGTTAAGGACCTTCCCTAACATCAATCTTGCAACGTGGTTCCAGTGTCCATGCTCTTAACTGCTCACTGATACTGTCACACACTGTAGTATACACTGAGGAACATACTATCAAGTTAAAAAAAAAAAAAAAAAAAAAAAAAAAAAAAAAAAAAAAAAAAAAAAAAAAAAAAAAA